TCGTGGTGTCAATTTCGGTGATATACATATAATACATGTAGGCACTAGGTATATTTATGCCGGATAAAAATAAGGGCTAAAGTCGAAACAGTCTCAGCTCAAACAGTAATCGGCCATCATGCAAAGATCCCACCTTCACTTATTTCATTCTATACTTTGGAAATCACTAACCCGAAAGTGAATTGTCACAATAGGGTTTTGAGACGAAGATAAGTAACAAAAAAGCAAAAGTAGTAGGTACTTGAAATCGACACAAACATTAAATTTTACCAGTTTCGATTATTTCGAAAATCGCAGCCGATTTAACTAAAGCGAACTGCGATTCTCGAGTACTCTGAAACCGATCGTAAATCCCCGTCAACGTGAACAAAATTCTTTTTTTCTTCCCCAGTGATAATCGCGCGAATTTTCGAACGAGATTCGAGACACTGTTTGCAACCCCTCGCGCACGGAGGTTCGCCAGCGTTTACGTATCGTATCTCTTCCCTCGTATATCACTCTTGACAAGTGGAATCGCGATTTGTATCTTCGGAAACACTCCTCCTGGTATCTCGTAGTAGTTCGCGTCCCGTATCGGTTCCTTGCGAATAAAAATGTCCTTTGAAATTGCAATCCGTTCGATAAAAATTCGCAGGCATTTATTCGGAGAAGAAGTGCACGAGACCAGGGAACGACTCGAAGTCGAGAACCAGCGCGAAAACGAAAACGGTTGGCTCGAGCGATATTTTAACGTCGCTAGACGCCGCGCGCCGGCGGAATTAGCGAAGGGCTCTCGAGATTTCGTCGGCGTTAAATAAGAGGCAACGGTTAGTCGAACGTTCGCTCAACCGGCCCGTTTCTGGTCCTCCCGTTATTTCGAGAGAACGTCGCCCGAACATCGTCGCGTCGACGAGTGGTAGACGAAAGCGAAAGCTGAAAACCGGAACGAAAAGCTGAAGACCGGCGGCACTTGAAGTTTTACACCGAGAGTAACATTTCGCCGGAGCAATCTCCGAGACGATAAATCCGATTGGTATACCGCGTGCATATGTATTTATCTGCGAGGTCGTCCTCTCCGCCTATCGCCGACACGTACGTATGTATCTCCATACAAGTTTCGCGTATTTTTACGTCATTGAAACTCTATTTTTAACTGCGTTGGAAAACACTCGTTTCGATGAACCGGTAATCGATCTATTGTCGGACAGCCTTACGGGTAATCATGTACACGAATCATAAAGTCATTTGCCTTCCTATAAATATAAAATCACGTGAAACCACACGTCAGCCGGCTGACCAGTCACGGATTTTAAAACCACGCGAACCTACGTCTGCGGCGACCAGTTACAGATTCTACAACGATGTGCAACTGCGTCGACACGGCTACGAATGCGTTAATTATGCAAGTGAATTCGAACTTACCGTTTGACACCGTTACGTTCTGAAAGTGGTAAAAAAAAAAAAACATGAAAAATCGATGGATTCTAGGAGGCGTCGCAGTGGTTACGCGTTGGTCGTGAATAAGGAGAGATGGAGGTAACATGGGCGGGAGAGGAAAACGGTGAGCGGAGAATGCAAGCGCATTCTGCCGGAAAGCAGATCCTCGTCCTCTGGGAAATACGTCTTGCTTCGCCGGGTAGCGAGGAAATTTAATATCCGAATCGACGTTCGCGCGGCGTTATTCACGGTCGACGGCGGGTCGACCCGTCTCGACCGTCGACCAGCGATAAATACGTGATTCTAGCACCGTTTCCGCGCTCGGTTGTTCGTCATTAAAAATTGTAAAATCGTTCGAAATTTCTTCGCATCGCTCTCTCCGCATTGTCGATCCTCGTGAAGTTGCTCTTAGGGATGATCGATTTCGATTCGATTGTACAAGAAACCGATTCTTTTGGTTAAACAAATCAATCTTTTTTCCGTTACTAAGGAAGGTTTCTTAACGCAACTATATTTGACTAAACGTCGAAAAAATGAAGCTGTTTGAGGATTAATTTGTCCCCAACGAAAAGACTCGATTCTAAGATTAATTACTCTAAACTGAATAGTTGCTTTATAAAAGCTCGATACCAGATTTCTGAAACTGTAAGACGGAGGGAGGGGCATGTTTTTATTCGTTTCATAACTAGAAGATAATCGTTGGCCGACTTATTCTCGAAGAGTTATCCCTCCGTTTTTACTTGGTTCGAGAGGAAGCTCTGGATTTACGGTTCAATCGCTGGCGACAGCATGCTGCGAACTCGAACGAAACGGAGTAAAGGGAGAAATAGTGGGAAGTTAAAGAAGTGGGAAGATGAATCCCTACGGATCCGGACGTTCTTCGGTAAAGTTACTTAATTGCCGGATCAAAGGCTCGTCCGGAGAAGTTGCTGAGTATGTATCCGGTTCATTGCAGTTTGACGCAGTTTGCCCGCGACGCAGGGTGATTGCGAGCACGAAGCCCAATTCGTTTCTCGCGATGGTTGCTCTATTTTTCGTGGAACCGTTGCTTCGATGCTTTTGGTTCGTCTCGCGTTGATCCCTTCGCCACAGAGCTTGCAAGCGCATTGAACGGACCCACTCGTGCCGATCGTATTTCCATCGGCCTGCCCCGTGTTATTCCGTGTGTACATAGATCTTTGTCGTGTGCAACGGAACTTTCGTCGAAACGGTATCGTCGACGGTCGACCACGCGTAGAATCGAAAATGACGGGATTCGTAACGAGAGTCATCCGAGGCAACTTGTTTCAATTTACGCCAAGGACGCTAGCATTCCACGATGAATGGGCCCGGCTGTCCCAAGGCGATAATTAATATTCATTTCAGGCGCGTATATACGTATGTTGGAATTAATGCTTTGCTGGCGGGTAGGTTTTTTGGTATTTGCAAATGTACAACGTTTAGGTGTTTGATAAAGATTTCGAAACTACTACTTTATTTTTATTTGCCAAAGTGTACATATAGAAAAAGCCATTTTTCCGTGCAATTACCTAATTGGATACTATCTCCATTTTTACTATAACCATGTTAATACTATATAAATATAATAGATAGGTGAGAACATTTTCCATCGTGCACTATAAAATATTGTAAAAAAAAAAAAGATTCCCACCTGTATGAATTAGGATAAATAAAATATTTACGTTGGTGTTCGTTTGTTCGCAGATTCTTCCCGTTCCAGGGTTAGCAGCTATCGGAACGTCCGCAATGTCCGTTCGTTTATGGTGAGTAAAATCTGCATACAGATCCTGGTGGCGACAGTATCCCCTGCAACTGTCTGGACGGAGAAGCAGGCGTGGATCCTAAATCACAGCTGCCCACTGTGTGTCTTTAAGCCTCGGGGTCGAACTCTCCTAAATCATTTTAATCGGCGCTAGGACGGTTTAAACGAATTTTCACGGATTCGCGGAATCGGTTCGAGGATGCGATCAGCTCGACGGAGGGTGGTCAAACGGTGGTCGAGGTTCACGACCATACGCGTTGGACAGAATCCAATCCAACGAACGGAAAGGAACACTGGTTGCTTCAGCATCTCGCGATCGTACGATCTACAAGACCAGGAAAAATTCCAACCTTTGTTGGTTGTACCAAGACGATCTTTTATCGTGATTTAAATAATGAAATAATATAATATTTATTTATAAACGGGTTATGCACCCTTTGATACAATATACATGGAAGTCTAGGAGACAAACGAAAAGTTTAATTATACAATGATGCGTAAAGATATGCCAGATTTTACAAAGTTTTATAGTATTTAACTGTACAGAATGTTTAACAAGATTTAACAAAAATTCTATGACATTCACGGATCGTCGCTTTTCGAGACGATCCGTGGGAAAAGCAAAGCTTCTCAGCGTGGAAAAGGGCAAATCAGGCCGAGGAAACGTGGAGCGGCTGGGAAGGTGGTTGGTCGAAACAGACGCGTGCAAGAGGAAACGCGGGAATTCGCGGTATCGGTGTCGTTTGCCGGCGTCGGCGTCGATGTCGGCGGTGACTGCGTCTGCGACGATCTCTATAAATAATCGAGGGAATCCCGTGGTACCAGGAGAAATTGGCGTGTTCCGACGCAAACACGGCACGCTACCGGTCGAAATATTCGCGCGCGTCTCCTTCCCCTTCACTAATTTTGGCCGTCCGACGGGAACCGTTTCGACCCCAGATCGCGGTGGTGGTCGCTCTTTTTCTTCCGTCGCGGCCGAGAACGTCTGGCCGACTTTGCTCCAATTTCTATTCTTAACCGAGAAAGAGATATATAGAGAGAGAAAGATCCCGTAAATTTGAACGATCCGTTTTTCGCTGATTCGTTCCGAACGATCGTAATCCCGAAAGGTGGTCGATGGTCGACGGGACAATTTGAAAATTCGGAAAAATTCCTCGACGACCACAACCAGGGCTGACGATAATTTCGCTCGAGAATAGTTTGACGCGTTCTGTCTGTAAAAAAAGAAAAACAAACATACGTGTGTTCCAGGGATCGGGGGGGGGGGGGGGGGGGGGGATTTTCCCCAAACATCGATTTTCCGTCGACACGCGGAAAGGAAGTCCGGGGCGGGCGGTGGTGCGTTGACTTTCGACCATCCATTCGCGGTTGGGGTCGCGTCTCGCTTCTCCCATCGAGCGTCTTTATCGTCGGGACGCATTTTCGTCCGTTGTAATAAGCCATTGATCCCGAGGGTTGCGCGCCGAGAGACAACGTTAGGGGAGAAAGCTCCGAGAGTCGACCTTGACTGGCTCCTCGAAAGTCCCACGAGGCAGCAATCCCCCATCCATCTTCTTCCCTCTTTCGCGGGTCTGGGTTTTAGAGTTGCCTACGGCCGAATTCTCGCGGGTTGGACTGCACGTGTGTGCGTATGTAACGATTTCTCGATTTTGTCGCAGACGAATCTGCCGCGCCCCAGAACCGAGCAGTGGCAGCGGCAACGGCACCGACAGTGGCAGCGGCGGCGGCGTTGCCCGGAAACGGACGGAGGAGACGCGAGCGTGCCCGTCCTCGTGGCACCTCGACGCGACAGGGAGGAGGGTCGAGTCTTCGATCTTAATTTCGGCCTTACGCTCGTAATCTCGCGTCCAAAGTGGCTAAGAGCGTAAGTCCTCGTCGAGTGCACCAGGAGTGCTCGAGCGGCGGGGAGGTGCAGGTACAGGTGCAACAGGAGAGACGAGCACCGAGGCGCATGCCTTACCTGGGGCCTGATATGACAACCCGGCTGTCCGCCATGTTTTACACGGTCGAAGTCGGGGACACCAGGTTCACCATCCTGAAGCGATACCAGAACCTGAAACCGATCGGCTCGGGTGCGCAGGGGATCGTTTGGTAAATTTTTTTTTTGTCTCGCTCACCGACCCATAAGATTTACCCGGACGTGTTACGTGGGACATGCACTGATCTTTATATGTATAAACTGACATACTGACTTTCGAAGGTACGCCTTCTTTGAGAATAAATCTTGAAGTATATCACTTAATCGCTCACCAATAATCTTGACGGTTTAAGAACTTGCTACAAGAAATATTGGCGAGGTTGGAGTTGGCTTTGTTTAATTTCTGATATGTTTCTTAGGTGTAAGAAACAAGTACTTTGTGTTACTCTAGAAATTATACGAGAAAGCATACCTGAGAATGGAAAGCGTTAGTTACTGTTCAGCTATACAGACAGCGAGAATGGTTTATTCTCAAAGATGGCGTATCTTTAAAAGTCAACAACCAAATAGACCCCATCCAGTATCCATATATGTATACAGATCAGTGGGGACATGGGATTTCGTGTTGCCAGGAATCTATAGTACCGAAAGCCTGGAAAACCCAACGTTTTTAACGACAGCGCGCAATTTAAGTTTCCGAAGAACGCAATTTAAGTTTCACCATTGTGAAGCACGGGTAGGATCGATCGAGTTTCGAGGTTTTTCCATACCTGGCGCGCGAAAAGGATTCGCTTAGCGATTCCTGTACATGCGCGGGGTGGGGGGATGTTACGACGGAAACAAAAAGTTTAGACGCACTAGCGAGAGCAATACAAGCGGCACCACACGGCCGGATTCTTTCTCCATGGCTTCGTTTACGTAATCGAAGAGCGATCGGAACGCGGAAGACTAAATGGACTCGCGGATCGATCTCTAATCCCTCTTGTTATGTTGTAGCGCGGCGTTCGACACGGTTACCGCTCAAAACGTGGCGATCAAGAAGCTCTCCAGACCCTTTCAAAACGTCACGCACGCGAAGAGGGCCTACAGGGAATTCAAGCTGATGAAACTGGTCAACCATAAAAACGTGAGTCTTTCCCGAACGGTTACCGCGGTAAAATTCGCTCGTCGAGGATCCTTTTTCACGTGGGGGAATCGTTAAACGATATACAGACTTCTCTCGATTATCGTCTGGCTTGTTCTACACGATTATTGTCCAGGAGTTATCCCCACCACTGGGGAGGGGAGGCCATGGAACCTGTCAAACGTATACTTTGTTGCCCCTCCGCTTTTGTTGCCGAGGCTCGAGCTTCGGGCAAAAAACGAATTTACCTGGGTCTGAAGCATTTCTCCTTGTAAGATTATAGACCCGAATTCGGGACGATAATCGAGAAGAGTCTGTACCTATACTCGCGAACGATACTCTAACGTTTCCTCTCGTAGATCATCGGTCTCTTAAACGCGTTCACGCCTCAACGGTCGTTGGACGAGTTTCAAGATGTATACTTGGTGATGGAACTTATGGACGCGAACCTGTGCCAGGTGATCCAGATGGATCTGGATCACGAGCGTATGTCTTACCTTCTCTACCAAATGCTCTGCGGCATCAAGCACTTACACTCCGCCGGTATCATTCACAGGGTGAGTTATTTATGCGTGTATCTACTCGAGCAGAGTAGAACCATTCGGCCGATTGTAATCACGCGATTGTTGTTTCTTCCGTACGTGGAACGCTTGATGTTTCGTAGGATTTAAAGCCGAGCAACATCGTCGTCAAGTCCGACTGCACGCTCAAGATTCTCGACTTTGGTTTGGCCAGGACCGCCGGAACGACGTTTATGATGACACCGTACGTTGTCACGCGGTATTATCGAGCGCCAGAGGTAAGCCCGATCTATTTTCCATCCCCCTGTATCCTTAACCCTGATCGATGAGGATTAATTCCGTTCTCTACGTGCCATATTTTCTTGTCCGATTTCTCGAGCACAGGTGATCTTGGGTATGGGTTACAAGGAGAACGTGGACATTTGGTCGGTCGGGTGTATCATGGGCGAGATGATTCGGGGCGGTGTTCTGTTTCCCGGCACGGATCACATCGACCAGTGGAACAAAATAATCGGTACGCGAATTTTGCGATCGAGACCGATGTTTCTTTCTTTATTCTGGCGTAGGCAAGCGCAACGATAAAGCGAATTCGACTCGATTTTATTCCAGAACAACTTGGAACACCGGCGCAGGAATTCATGCAACGGCTGCAACCGACCGTGAGGAATTACGTGGAGAACAGGCCACGATATCCGGGATACCCGTTCGACAGGCTATTCCCGGACGTACTGTTTCCCTCGGACTCCTCGGAGCACAATAGATTAAAAGGTGAGTAGGTCGACGAGCCATCGATCGTCGCGCGGAAGTTCGCGGCGGAAACTGGCTGGTTCCGGCCGGCGTTCCGACGCGCCGTCTCGTCCATACTCCGGGACTTAACCCAGTAGTCCCCCCTGCGTTTCGTTTTCGCATCGTCTTCTCCGTGTTTTTTCTTTCCTTTTTCGTTTTTCAGCCAGCCAAGCCAGGGATCTATTGTCGCGCATGCTCGTCATCGATCCCGAGCGACGCATCTCCGTCGACGACGCTCTGCTGCACAATTACATAAACGTGTGGTACGACGAGGGCGAGGTGAACGCCGTAAGTAGCGTCTTTAGGGTTTCTCAAACTCGCGAAAACGAAGAAGAGAAAAACCGGGAGGAAACGCGTTCTTGTGTTTTATTGCAGCCCGCGCCAGGCCCGTACGACCATAGCGTGGACGAAAGGGAGCACACGGTGGAACAGTGGAAGGAGCTGATCTATCAAGAGGTGATGGAGTACGAGACGAGCCACAATCCCGCGAATGTAGCTCAGACGTCGGAAAGCGGTGGCTCCCGGTAGACACGGACCGAACCTTCGCCGCCTACGACGACTACGACGACGACCGTCTCCTCGAGGACGCATCTAGACTGTCCGATCTATCGTATAAATATCGCGGGAATGTAAAGAAGAGTAGCGACGAATAGAGAGAGAGAGAGAGAGAGAGAGAGAGAGAGAGAGAGAGAGAGAGAGAGAGAGAGAGAAAGAAACCTTCGCGTCCAGGGGAGGTAACGCGCATGTTTTTGCGCGTGTGCTGCTTTTCTCCGAGAGACCAACAAGAAAAACGGTCCAGCCGGGGATGTTGCGAGACGAATGAAACGTGAGAATGCAGGGAGGCGTGTGCTTGGGTAATAGAATGAGAGGGAGGGAGATAGAGCGATGTTAGAGCGAGAGATACATAAGAGCAAGGAAGCCGCTGCTTCGCCGATTTTTCGAAAGAAGAGAACAAAATCGGCATCGAGGGAGAACACGGGGAAGAGGGAGCGTTGCTCCGAGATCCGTCATTTTGCGCGCGCGAAACATACCAGGCATGACGAGCGCGCGGCTGCGAGAGTGCACGCAATAAGTATAATAAATATATTTATATGCATATATGTGTATGCGATATACATACATGTACATATATGTGTGTATATTTTCCGTAACCAAAGCATAGACGCGATACGGAGATACTACGAGTACAGACGCCGTGTCGTTTCGATACAGTGTCCCCTGACTGTTCGTCGTTGTTTTTGCTCGTTCTTCTTACTTTCCGATAATTCACCTCCGTATGGGAAACTTGTTCCCCCGCGATCGAGCTTAAAAGAATGTCGCGGACGCGTCGACGATGCTCGATTCCAGCTTTCCTTTTTATAAACTCGAACGCTTTCTTTCCTCCGTTCTTCATTTTTCTCTCCCCCTCCCACTCTCGTTCTATCTCTCTCGGTGATTCCGAACAGCTACAGGATCGAGAAAGGTTGAAGAAAAATAGGGCCAGTTGAAACGATCGATCGTCGATAAACGTGTTTCAAAGCCGAGAGAACGAACCGCGACCCGTTTCATTGCGTTCACGTTCCGTTCCGTGTTACGTTCGGTTATCGACGCGTTTCGCAACCGATCTCTTTCTCCATTACTGCCATATAAGCACAGCAATCTTCTTCTTCGCCTACACCCCCTTACCCCTTCCCACAACCCCCGGTATACACCCACGTACCTCGTACACGACTTTTGTCCGGTGATCGATTCGCGAGCTCGTCGTGACTTAACGTCGGGGCCGAACTCGAATGAAGCCGAACTCGTCCTTTGCGTCCTTGCGCGGCAATATCTATTTTTCGTATCGTCCGTAGTAATTCGGGAACAAATCCGCGATTAAGAAAAAAAAAAAACGAAAGACTGGCGCGAGAAGCGACGAGATCGGAAACGATCGCTGGGTGTTATTATTCGTGGCGCGTTGTTTCCACCGTCTCCCATTCGAGGATCAACGAAACACACACACACACACACACACACACATACATTCGGTCGTTTCGTTGTGTTTCACCGATTCTTTCCAAAACGCGCGAAATATCTTTCTCCCTCGGTGCAGCAGCAGCAGCAGCAGTATGTTCGCGACCGTGTCTCGCGGCGAGATAGCCGACGACGACGACGACGATTATTGATGACGATACGATCTTCAACAGTTTTCTACTTCTAAACTCCGAAAGCGTCCGACATACAGGGTGTCGCGAACAGAGATGAGCTCGAGCCAAATCCCCATCCCCCGTTCCAACAAAAAAAAAACATCCGGTATGTCCCCGAGTCCCGAATTTCGATTTGCCGTGATCACGCGTTTAATCGTCGCGAGCGAGAACATTGTGTATTTTTATAATGCAACTTGAACAAAAGAGAGAAAAAAAAAACCGCGCGTGCTTTTTATTCTCATCGTTTTCGCGCGCTCGTACGCCACCGATATTTTGTATTGCTAACTTTGTAAGATGGGGGTGAGTATCGCGTACAATCCAAATTTGCAAACAATTTCCAAGGAAGTGTACGGAGAGGGAAAATGAAAAGCAGGAGAGATTAAAACAAAAAAAAAAAAAAAAAAGTAAATACGAGACAGGTAATTAAGTGGGAAACGGAGAAGGCGAGAGACACGGTGAAAGAGGGTAACGCGGACGGTAGCTCCGGCGATAGATACGGTAGGAAAAGATGACGAAGACAGTCGTAAGGTGGGCACGAGAGGTGCTGCACACGCGATCGCGGAATTCGTTTTTTCGAAAACGAAGAGACGGTGCGCGATGTTATCGCGACGATCGATCCTCGAGTATTACGACGACGCGATTCGCGGTCAATCTTGTCGAGATTGTGTCTTTAGCTAGTTAGTTGTTTAGATAACTCGTTTTCTTTGTGCAATCGCGGATTGGTCGCGCGACCACGAGAACGACCAGCCGGTAATTAGGGCGCGCGCGTATTACCGCGTCAAGTGCAAAGTGTATCGTGTGTATACGTACGATACGCTGTTCCGTATGTTCTTATTTTTTTTTTTTTTTTTTTTTTTTTTTTTTTTTTGTTTCTCTCGGAGTTTCGCTGTCGACGAACAAACGGCAATAATCGGCGAGGCTGAAATAGTTTCGGCGACGGATCATCCGTGCGTGCGCATGCGTGGGCTCGCAGAAAGGTACGAACGCGCGCGCGGATTGATTCGTTTCGACGTTCCTTCGTTTCTGGCGCGGCCGCGGCGGCGGCGTCGCGCGAACAACGTTCACGCCGCGTGAAACTTTGCAACGCGTTCTTGGGAACGTTTTTCGCGCCAGACGTCTCTCGCCTCCGCTCTTTCGACGTTTACTTTAAGTTTAGGGAAGGAATGCTGAGCGTTGTATATTTCCGAAGGAACGTACATACAGACACAAGTTTAGCGTTAAGCTCGAACCGGCGGAATGCGCGTTATTCCAAAGCGATACACACACACACACACACACACACACACACACACACGCGTTTGTGGCAATACCTGTACAGTAGCCGACTAGACAACACACAGGACTGAAAGACGTTCGTTTTTTAACGGCGGATTACAGGGACGACAGCGACGACGATTACGGTTACGATGACGGCAGCGACGAGAGTAAAGACGACTGCGACTACATTGGTGATCATTATTATTATTATTATTTTTATTATTACTATTATTATAATTATTACTGCTACTACTAGTACTACTAATATAATTATTATTATTATTATCATTATTATTATGTTTATTTTTATCATTAATATTATACGGAATTATTGTATTTATTACGGTTTACTACGAATCGAGTTATCGACGATCGTGAGAGGGACAGTGAACAAATGTAATGTGAACGTTGAATTTTTATTTTCCACGACGATAGTTATGTGAATATATTGCTACAGTCCGATCCAAATAATCAAGCTTTTGTAACACTAATTATAATAAAGCAACGGTGATACTGCTAATCGCATAATTGTATCGCGAAAACGGTGATTTGGATACGAGGCGACGGATATATGTCGCGGCGGTTAGGTTTACGGGCGAGACGAGATAAATGCGGGGAAAACGCGCCAAAAATCTTTACAAATTCGCGCGAGATCGTGTTTACTCTTTCGTTCTTCTCCCCTTTCTTTCCTCGTCGCGTTCGCCGCCTTGAATTACACTCTCGGAACAACTATATTTTCTCCCCGTGCGATACAGCGAGAAACACAGAGACGCATAGAGAGGGAGGGAGAGAGAAAGATACCATTCTCGCGCTCTCGGCTTTCGCTCTCCAGTGCCTCGAGACGAGAGTTTCCGCGACGTTGGATCGCGAACGAGTTTAAGCAATCCGCGGTGAAACGAACGTTCTCCGATCTACGGAAACTCGGATAATCAACGGTTAATACCTATAGAAGAAAAAACGAAAAAACTTGTAATTTTTCCACGTGCACGCGAAAAGCCTGTTTCTTCGAACAGCGAATCAACCGAAAGGATCTCTCACTCGGTGAACCCGCGATTCCTTGGAATTTCGTCCAGCTCTTCTCGAGCCACATACACATCCACACATAAACATACACAAACACGACTGTTTCCTTCTTCTCGTCGATCTCCTGTCCTATGCGCAAGAAAAAGGGTCGACGCGGGGCCCCGACAGGATCGCCGCGCGTGATGTTTGCGTATCTCCGGTCGTTGCGATTTTTTACCGCGGTCGGAATTTCTAAAGATTTTTGGATATACACGTTCGACGCGAGGACTATAAGTGACGTACTTAATGTAACGCGTAGCGAGATACACCGTATTAATTGTAGATGGGGCCGGAACGAGATCGCCAGGTTCTGCGAAAAAATACGGTCGTCGCGGTAAACGCGATCGTAATCGCGATCTAGGTAGCATAAACGATATATCGATTGCAGCTCGTGCCCGAGTTTTCTTATTTCGTCGTAGGCCAAGACGAGTCGTAGTGAATAAACGCTAATTGTTAACCACACGGTAAACATTCGAAGATAATAAAGACA